ATGTATGACATAAATTGGCATATAATCTCAAGATTGGGATGCCCCATCAAGAACTTTTCCACTAAAGAGAAAGAGAATAGTGTAGCTAGCTCAAAAATCATAGTTCAATGAGAATGAATGCTAGTTTAACCTAAACTGTGGAGGGTTGTTTGCGTTGTTCGGGGTTTGATCTTTGGTTGAAATGCAAAGGAAATTGGGTAGAAGTCATCAGAGTTTTAGGACTTATCGACTCTCCAACAATTGCAACGAAGGATCAATGAGCATTGGTATAAGGAATACTATCTATATTTGGTTCAACTGTAAGAGGAGCCAGATAGGAAATTGTGAGCGTCTATATCAATGGTGGTTAAGGAATAGCTCAACCAAGGGAGTCAACTTGAAGACCAAGCATCATATAGGATGTTTTAAATCTCAAATAATGGACTATATCTAGGGGAAGTGAGGAGGACCATCGATGACCGAATCGGAAAATGTAGAACATATATTGAAAGACATCAAGGAAGACTGAGCCAGCAAGGGTGTCATTCTTGATGCCAATGCCATAGATGTCATGGGCGCGATTAAATTGCCCATTGACACTTGTTTTCCCCAGGAAAAAAGCTTGTACACATACTATAGATGTAATAGGTTAATGAGAAATTAACATATGAGATTGAGATTAGTATCTGTTAACACGATAAGGCACGAGCTAAGCTTTAATGCAGTTAGCCACTGACCAATGTGCTGAGTGAATCAAACGGAACTTGAGACTGAAAGCCATTGATGCGTTGTAGGGATTGCATATCAATCCTATGTGTCAAGTGAAACACCCGAGGGGATGTGTGAGCGCATGATGATGACGACAACCAAAAATGCATTAAAAAATGTATGCTAGTTGTGTATTTGAGGACGAAGGCTTGTGAGCACAATCACATGCAAGCACAATTGACCTCAGAGAGAGCAGCATGAGCGCTTGAGATGAACTCGAGATGAAAATTTCCTTACCTTTTGTTTCACCCTCTTTCCTTATAAAAATGGCTTAGGATTTTTTTTTTTGAAATGATGAGCAATAAATTGCAAGTGTATTTCAAATTGATAACTTTGGAGAAATAATCTTCTACTCTAATGATAGTGCCACAAATCCTTTTACAAAAATTTAATATATTATCCTTGCACCTTTTTCCACAACTCATTTGATAGGAGGGTACACTTCTAATGTGATGATTGATGATGGTGTACTCATAAGTGGATAGTAGGGAGTATAACATGGTCAAAATTTTATCTTTCTCTTCAATCTTCATATCTAGATTTGCTAGATCTAATAGATTCTTATTGTAGGCATGTTAATGCTTTTGCAATTATATATCATTTTTCATGCTAAGTGGGAAAAATTTGTCATGACCTAGCCCGGAGGCTCGAATTAATGAGGCGGGAACAAACAGTCGGACGATAAATTAAAATTTTATTTGCTAAATTTATGTCCAATACACTAAAAGAGATACTAAAACTTCTAAAATAAACTAATACAAAATCATTCAAATACCTTTATTCTAGTGCGCCACATCTACAATACACATTTTCATCTCTTCTATTCATTTTGATTTTAATAAATTATACCTGAAAATGTTAGAGCAATTACAAGCAAGCCACAACTCTGAGTAAAACATGCTTATAAATTATAGTAACTTAAGGCAATTGGAACAATATGCATGATCCCTTCTTCATCATATATCATAAAATAATTTCATTTAATCATATCATTTCATCAAAACTTTTAATGTTATGCATAAATCATATATGTCATATATATCATATATTTATTCATATCATTCTCATTTCTCATAAATAATACAACCGTCACAAGAGCCATTGTCTAATTTAGTACCAATGAAGGTAGTCATTTTCCTTTTTCATAGCCTTTTTCATTAACGCGCATGGGTACATTGCGTCCCTAGCCAGTACTATAAGGGGTGTGCTCTATCAGTCAATATGCACATGCAAGCATACTATATAAATCATATCATTTAGCTTCTATATATCATTGCATTTCAAGTCTTCTAATTTAACTTGATTCTAGTTTAACATAATCAATTATCTTTAATGAAAAAAGTCATATAATATTAATAGTGAGCAATTAGATAATAATAGTACTTAGTGCATCACATGTAGGAGAAACAAATATTATCACTGTAATTAAAAGGCATAAGTACTCACCTTAAACTTATGAAATACGTTGTTTCATTTTTACTCTTTATTTCTAATAATGATAGATTTAAAACCTATAAAAGATCACTTCATTAAATTTAATTAATTATTTACTCTTAATTTTCTCTAATTTAATCTTTCAAAACTTCTTCTCTCTTTTTAAATATACTTAATTCTTAAAAATAATTATAATGTATTTCATTAATTAAGATTTCTTTTATTATTATATTTTAAAATTCATGTTGTTCGCTCCCTCTTTCTCTTTCTCAAAGTCTCTCACATTAATTGATTTTTAAAATATAATAATAAAAGAAATTTACAAATATACTTTCTATTTCTCCTTCTCTATATTTTTTATTTAATTCATATTTTCTATATTATTAATATATCATTTATCACTAATCCTTTAATTCCTTATTTGCATAATTAATTTCCTAATTAGCATTTTCAATTAAAATCCATATTTTATTTAAATATCATAATCTCTCAAATTTACGCTCTCTCTAATATGTGCTTTTAAACTCTTAAATTTAAATTTGATTATTATTATTTCTATGTTTGATAAAATATCTCATTTCCTATACAATTTATCTCACCAAAACATCCCTTCCTTGAAAATTTTCCTTCCTCCACCATCGAACCAAAATTTATATCACTTGGATTCTTCCAATATAAAAATCAAAATATATTTTCTTATTATTTCTTCAACTAAAGAAATGAGAAATGAAAGTATATAACCTCAAATTAAATCACATATTTTTTCTTAAGAAGGAATTCCAAAAATCCTAATTCTTCTTCTCTCTCTTCCAGATTTCCTTTTAATATTACTTGTCTTTTCTTAGAATTAATCACAGTAGAAAAAATGCTAATAGAAATGAATTTGAAAAAAAACTTATTTCCTTCTTCTTCCTCTCAGCTTCCTCTCACGACAAAACACGACTCTCTCCCATTTTCTTCTACATGAATGAATAGAATGGACTTATCTCTTATGAGAGTAGTTATTTTATTCCCACGCACGCGATCCTTCGCTCAAAACTGCAAACCAAGCCTTCCTGACATTCCCGTGATTACGTTCGGCCCGCTTCAGTCCGCGACTCTATTGCTTGGTCTGTCTGTTCGCGGCATTAAATAATAGGGCTGGCCGGTTCAATTGAACCGGCTGGCTAGATCGGTTCTTTCACAATTGTTATTTTAAATAGAGACTATTTGTTACTGATTTTTCATCATATTAAGAGATTCCAATATTTCCCACATCTCTTAAGTGATACTTTGATATACTATATTTCAAATAACCTTATCTCTAGCATTAAGAATTGTTGAACTAAGGGTTTTCAGGTCCATCTCCTCATTTGTGCCTCAACTGGGGATTCTTATCTCTTCAAAGTTTTTGAGCAAACTCTCTTTGAACCTATTTTCTTCATTAGATGTTTAAATTATGGTTTCTATTGAATTTATAAACTCATATTTGGTAGTGTTAGCAAAAGTCTTTGGTGACTTCATCATCTAGGTTCAATCTGATTGCTTTGATACTATTTTATTCGTAGTGTCCAAATCACTCACTTTTGAGTTTCTTTAAGAGCAATTAAGTTAACCTTGGTTAAATAATATAAGAATTATACAAATATGAAAGAAAACAACAAACACAACCACACAAATACAAGAATACCAAGATTTATATGGTTTGATTAATAATGAACTACATCCATGGGACTAGTATTGATTAATGCCACTATAAAACATGTGTAGTATAAAATGATTGGACTATCAATAATCTCAAATCCTCTTTTATAGAAAACTACTAAGAGAAGTAGCAAAGAGCGCACTAAAACTTAAATGACATTTCTTACAACAAAGCAAAAGAGAAGAGAAGAAAGAAGAGAGTGTCTTCTCTTGCCAAATTTCTAATAACAAAGAAAGCTAAGGAAAAAACCTGAGGAAGTAACTTGTGATATGCCATACCTTGTGATCTCTCTTGCGTAGGAAGAAGATGATAAAGTGTCTATTTGCACGCATGCTCACTACAAACAGAAGTTATGCATGTCAAATATCCTTTTAGAAAGTATGAATGGTGCTTTAATTATTTTATGAATTGCATTTCATTTTGTTTTTCTTTTAGAAGAAAAACAGTTAATTTTTTGTTTCTATTGTAAATATTTACTAGAAATGGCATTGAATGATTTAAAACTTGACCTTGATGAAACAAGCCTACACGTTAACTATTTAAGTTGTTAGGATCTTACCAAAATATTAAGCTCATGTGGCAAAATTTCATTACTCATGGATAGTTTTTTCTCTTCCTTTAGATAATGATCAGAAGTTTTATCTATTGAAAATCTTTAATTTTATGATGATAAATAATAGCCAATCACCCTTGGCCAATCTCCGGTTATCCTGCCCTGGCTTTGATACTATTACTGTTTCCACAACCATCAAGTAAAAAGGTGATGCTTTGGTTGTATGGTGTGGATTGGAGGAAGGTGCTTCTACATTCCAAGCGATTGTGTTTAGGGTAGATTGACTTCATCATCATCATTTATTCTACTTGTGGCTATTTTTTAATTTTTACATTTTGCATTTTGGTTGCTCCACATCTTCATTCTTCATGTTGATGAAATTTTGAAAGTATTTCTTTTTATTAGTCATTTTATTTCAAGTAAGTATTAAGACACCAGAGTTTTATCCTAATTCACATTTTATTCATTTAATTCTGTTTTTATATACTTGCAAGATTCGTACTTTGTATGATTGCTTTCCAACCAAATGTTTTTGAGAAACTTTTAGTTCATAACCGTTTTACTGAAATTCTGATATTACAGATTTCTGAAGTGGTTAATAGCATGAAGGATCTGATTGATTACAGCAGGCATACCGGTACAGGACCCATGGGTAAGTGTTGGTTTTTATCCTGGTTTATCAATGTGTTTAGTTGTCTATATAGTTCTTCCATCCTCTGCAAGAATACCGGTCTAAAGTGAAAAACCTTAGGTGTTCGAGTTCCACTAAAGCTGTTTGATGCTTTCAGAAGTGCCAAAACTATACGGAATAGAAATCCTTGCTATATGAAGTGATGATGGATAGTTTGATGCAACCTGGATGCAAATTTAAAATGTGATGCAGAAGTAAGATAAATTCATTGATGGTTCTTTAGGTTCACACTCAATAAGAGGAGCTCTTAACTTAGTTGATTACTAGTGTAACAATAGAACTAATGAATTTGAAGGTGAATGCTAGTGAGAATAATTGTTTACGGAAACATGATTTCTAATCTTATGTTTGCAAAAAGAAAACTATAGGGTAAATAACAATGCTATTGATAACTTAAAGGCAATTTTTATGAGCCATCCATCATATAGATCTTGGGTCCTAATTTTTATCTCTAAGTGGTGTGCACTTATTCATTAAAGAGGTCCTTTATTTCAGAGAGGAGCACTGAAAAGCACAATTAGTTTTGTTAAAGGTTTGTGGGATACATAATTTAACCAAGGAGTCTATGTCGGTATCCTTTGATGGCCCTTGGATTGCAATTCGTGTTCTTCCTCTTCCTATCTTAGCCGCCAATCCCCCCGGACATGTTTTTTCCCTTTTTCCTAAATAGCTTTGATTTATTTCAATTGAATGTCTTTTTGGAGAAGTCGATGAATACGTCTGCACTTTGTAAAAAATCAAGCAATAAAACTTAAATAGTTTGTTTTTACACTTTTTTGTATGGTATTAGAGCGAGGTTAGGATTTTCATCTTCCAAGTTTTGTTCTTTTTCTTTCCCCCTTTTTGTTGAATTCTTCTTTTTTTCTTTATTATGATTTTTTTTCTTTGATATTCCTTTTAAATAGTCTACAAACATGAATAATGAAAATCTGACTAAAGGAGAATTATAGGGGCTATAAGATTCATGTTGTATGTGTGAGAGAAATCATCTGAAATAATTTCAAATTATAAAGGCCTTTCTTAAAGGTAAGAGAAAAATCTATCATCTAATGGATTCTTCTTCGAAGCCAAAAAAATTTAAAATTTGTATTTTAGGATGAAGTGAATGTCATGATCATGAGAGGATTGTGTAATACCATGATGTTTTAAATCAGTGAGTCTTATATGTTCTCTATCACAAAAGAAGTTTGGGGAACCGGCTAATAAATGTATTCAAAAGTGATGGTTGCTACCCTTATTATTAAATAAAAACTAAGATTTCAACAACTAAGCAAGGTACCATTCATGTTATTAAGTACTTTAATGCAATGAAGGTTTATTGGCTTAAATTAGATTATTATCAAGATCTTAAGGTGGTATTCTGTGATGATGCTTTAATTCTCAAGCGATTTGTAGAAAAAGTAAGGGTATTTTGAGTTTCTTGCATAACTAGATTATGACTTGAACAATTTGTATCCAAATATTAAGTAGAGAAAACCTACTCTTATTAAGCAAGATTTTTTCTCTTATACGGCCCAAAGAAGGTACGATGGACGGTTATACTTAACGCTTCAATCTCCAAAGCATCTATAATGATAACCATCGTACCCAAGGTAATGGACTTACTGCTATAGACTTTTTTCTTAAAAATTTGGCAAAAGCCTTCTTCCAAAAACAACTTATGGTGCAACTACTAGAAGAAGAAAATGAAACATTAAAGAAAAATGTTGGAAACTCCACAAAAATATAGGAATAAAAGAGCTTACCAAAAAGAGTAGACCTGTCTTGATGAAGCATAATGCTTAATATAAAAGAAATTAATAAATTCAACAACTAACTTAACTCTTTGGAAAAATCATATGGATCATGCCCCTAGCTCAAAATGTTATGACTTGTAACTTAATGTTTTTTCGTGCGATAAATAATTCCCCCACAACTCGATCCTTAATTTTGGAGCCTTTAATTGGATGACAAATATTGCCAACTTTTTTCAACAACAACAACAACATTAAGCCTTTATCCCACTACGTGGGGTCGGCTACATGAATCTTTTTCCTCCATTGTGTCCTATTAAAAGTCAAATTCTCGTTTAAATCTAATAAAGAAAGGTCATTTCTAATATTATCTAACCAAGTCTTTTTAGGTCTGCCTCTACATTTCTTAACATAAGTCAAATCTAATACCTCTACTCTCCTAACCGGGTCATCGGAAGGCTGCCGTTTTATGTGACCAAACCATCTAAGAAGACTCTCTCTAATCTTATCTTCTAATAGAGCTACTCCAACTTTTTAATGTATATGCTCCTTTTGTATCCTATCTGTAAGGGTAAAGCCACTCATCCACCTGAGCATCCTCATTTCTGCCGCACTTAACTTAGTATTATGCTTCTCTTTTAATGGCCAACATTCAGCACCATAAAGCATTGCTTGCCTCACCACCATCTTATAAAATTTTCCCTTAAGTTTGAGGGGTACTTTTCTATCACACAACAAGCCCGATGCATTCCTCCACTACAATCATCCAACTTGAATTCTGCTGATAATATCCCCATCTATTTCACCATCACTCTGAACAATAGATTCAAGATATCTAAAAGTGTGCTCTTATTAATGACTTGATCACCCAAAGTCACAATCCCCTCATTAGGTCTATTACTACTTAAATTACACTTTATATATTCCGTTTTAGATCTACTCAAGCAAAAATCTTTAGACTCTAAGGTTGACCTCCATAATTCAAGTTTACCTTCAACTCCCTCTCTAGGCTTATCAACAAGAAGAATATCATCAGCAAAAAGCATACACCAAGGTACATCCTCTTGCAAATGTCTAGTGAGAACATCCATGACTAAAGAAAAAAAGATATGGGCTTAAGGCTGATCCTTGATGTAACCCAACTGAAATAGGAAAATACTTGGTCAAACCACCTTTTGTTTGAACAAAAGTAATAGCTCCTTCACACATATCATTAATGATTTGAATATAAGCGTTATTAACTCTTTTCTTATCAAGAACTCTCCATAGCACTTCTCTTGGAACTTTATCATATGCTTTTTCTAAATCAATAAATATCATATTTAGATCCTCCTTATTTTCTTTATATTTCTCCATCAAACCTCTTAATAAATGTATGGCTTCCATAGTCAACCTACCCGGTATGAATGCAAATTGATTTTGAGAAACATTAGTATCACTTTGCAACCTGTGCTCCATAACTCGCTCCCATAGTTTTAAAGTATGACACATTAACTTAATTCCTCTATAATTCGCACTATCTTGTGCATCACCTTTATTCTTAAAAATAGGAATTAACACACTCATTCTCCACTCATATGACTTCTTTTTAGTCTTCAAAATAGTATTAAAATGTTTAGTAAGCCAAGAAATTCCTTCATCTCCTAAGCATTTCCACACCCCTATTGGAATATCATCAGGTCCAACAGCTTTTCCACCCTTCATTTTCTTTAAAGCCTCTTTAACTTCGATTTTACTAATACGCCAATAAAAACAGAAATCTTTATTTTCATTTAGGGTGCTAAGGTCACTACAGTCAATCTTATTTTCACAATCTTCATTAAAATCTTTATTTTCATAAATTTTCACTCGGAATAACTTTACAACATTTGCAATCTAAATGATCTAATTTTCTTATCAGAAAACAGTCAATCTGAGTTGTACTATATCCATTTTTATAAGTGATGAAATGCTCATTTCTTTTTTTAAATAAGGTATTAGCAATTAAAAAATCATAAGCTAAACAAAAATCTAATTTTGTCAACTTTTTTCAAACCTATAAAATCCTGGACCACCAATAGAAAATAAAAGTAGCTAATTATTTTATATAGATGTGATAAGTGAACATAGCGAAGTGAGTTGGAGTCAATGCTTTGTTTTGTTTGAAGGTTTTTAAGAAGTTAGAAGGTTTACAAGTATTTGCAAGGGAAGACCAATGAAAAAAACTGTGGTTTTGAGTCCAATTAATGGAGTTAGAGAATTAATTTGGAAGGAATTAGGAGTGGGGGCCAACCATGCTTTGTGGGTGAGAGTGTGTCATGGTGATGTGGTGGTCAACGATTATTTGGACATCAAATAAGGAAGTGGTGGTCAAAATGGTTAGTCCAATGTCAAGGAGAAGGTTAGGCCAAGGTGACTTGATTCCACAATCACAACATATGCGACTTGCGTGCCTGGGATAATTTTACATATAACTTGGCATACAAATGCATTGCTTAATGATGGCGATGACAATGTTGATGTGATGTTCCTGCATCGACACTTCTAGGTTTCTAAAGATTCTATGTATTGCAAATGATTATGACTCAACCATTGCAACTCCTCCATGGTCAACCATGAATCACATAATAGGGTAAAATTGCAGCAGCAATGATGCATTGTTGTACCTTCCATTTGATGTAGAAATGAACCATCTAAGACTGGTCAAGTTGATAAAATCTAAGATGATGACTTATTATTGGTGACGATGATGGTATAGAAGAATTAAAATCAACATGTAAGTTTGTACTCATTTCAAAGGTTGTGAGTATCTGGAGCCTATAGATGGTAAAGAGTTAAATCCACAAGATTAAACGCTGAATAGATTCCTGTATCTATAGGAAGATCCCCTTCTTAGGCCTTATTATTTATCTTCATAATTTTATGTACATCATCATAACTTGTAATTTAGAGTTAAATCCTGTTGAATTTTTTATATAAATCATGAATAGTCTTGGCAAATTATGATACGCATTTATGACTTGTATACAATGAGTAACTCAATGAGGTCAATGGGTTTGTGTGGCTCATATCCAAGGTTAATTTGGAGTTTACTCATACATTTTGACCTATTAATTGACCTGGTATAGGCAAACTCAATATTGTGAAGGATCAAGCCTCACATGGCCTAGTGACCAGTGACTAAACATCTATGCAAATCCCTTAAAATTTTCATTGACAGCCTCATTCTAAACATTCCTTTTGAGGATG